AGGCCTCTTTGGCCCCCTATCTAAAAGATAGGCACTATGTTTGTGTCTCTCCCTTCTCACCCATCCTCCATGAATTCCCAAAGATAATAGCTAGCATTCTGAGATGGTTTCAGATATTTCCTTAAGGATCTCATTGTGAATTTCATAAGGGTCTGCTGACTTTAATATTTTAGCTTATTTAACCTGTTATCCCTATTTTGGTTTGCATTCCTTCCTCCTTGTTAATAGTGTATTGAGTATCGACCACTATGAACTTTTTAAATCAAGATTGAGGCAAAATAGATTAACATCTCAGTTTTCCTGATGTCGCCAATTAACAGCTTTGCTTCCTTGCCAAGAAAAGGACCTACACTTACCCTCATTTTTTTCTTCCTCTTAATGTATTTAAAGAACCTCTTTCTTATTGCCTGTAATACCCCTTCTTAGGTGTAACTCATTGTGTGCCTTAGCCTTTCTGACTTTGTCCCTATATGCTTGAGCTGTTCTTTTGCACTCTTCTTTTGCAATTATTCCATGTTTGCACTTTTTGGAAATATTAAAGGTCTCCTGATGGAACCATATTGGCCTCTTCCTCTTCTTCCTATCTTTCCTTTTCATCAGAATACTTGGCAGCAGTGCATTTAATATTGTCTTTTTGAGAAATTGCCAGCTCTCCAGAACTCCTTTATCCCTTTAGATTTTCCTTCCATGGGACCTTACTTAACAGTTCTCTGAGTTCATTAAAGTCCTCTATTTTCAAGTCTATTGTCCTTATTCTGCAGCTGCCTTTTTTTGAATCATTAAATCTATCATTTCATAATCACTTTACCCAAGTTGCCTTTCTGCTTCAGATTTGCAACCAATTCCTCTCAGTTGGCCAGAATTAACATTAAAACATCTGTCCCCCTAGTTATTTCCTCCACTTTTTAAAATTCATCCTACAGTTTGAGGTGTTCTGCACTATTCTTTTATCTAATCCTTGTCTGTGGGAAAACCACCATATATGTAGGTTGCAATCTCATTGCTAGGACATCCCCTACACCCTTTTTATCCCAAGCTAAACTTTTGCTGCAGTTGGTTATGTAGAACTCCCAATTTTCCCCACAGCTAGGCCTTTTCTTACCCCTACTCACTGCTTCACTGGTAACTAGAACATAGCAGGAAACAGATTTTCCATCCCAAGAGAATTTGAGAGGTCTACAATTTCTCCCATCCCAAATCAAGACAAAGTGGAAGTCTCAAATGTTTGCAAAATAAAAGACAAAAAACTCACCCACCCCCCAAACATATCAAATTATTTTGAAGGATTTTGAGAAAATTAAAATGTTTTAATTTCAATGTTTTCAATACTATACATTACATTACTTTAAAAAGTCATTTTGAACCAAAACTGGACTTCTTCATTTTGAAAGTGTAACAGAATGTTTTGACAATTTGGTAACTTTTGAAAAAAAAAATCCCCAAATGGGAAATTTGTTGAAAATGACCCAGAACTGTTTGGTTTTGACATATCAGGATTTTTTATGAAAAATGTTTAGCTCATTCTCTCCCCACCCCACCCCCCGCCTCCCAAAAAAGGCAAACAAACCCACAGACAAGTGTGATGCAGAAAGAGATAGATAAATTTTGGTCAATGTCCTTGTGCCTACAACCTATACTGTAGTATCTTAAACAAACCATAGATTCCCTAATGGAAGGATGACCCAAAATGATAGATGCTTCAGCTGATGAATTTGTATAAGAAAAAAAACATATGCAGAACATGACAAGTTTCACTTTCAAGTGGAAATTTTTCTGAAGGAAGAATTTATTTTGCTGGTTTTAATTGTACTGGAATTGGCTAATTTCCAGAAACCTGACCACAAACAATGTGAATCTAGTCCTAAACATTTCAAACACAGGGCCAGTGCAGGCCAATCACCTTTTTCTTGCTCACAATTCCATCAAGACAATTTGCTGAACTGCATGGGGAATTTCCACATAGGGTAGCAATAAATTTCTATTGCTGGATCCCATAGCTTTCTGAACATGGTCAGCACACCTAACGCACACCGTCTGAAGGGGGTTTTCTTGCTGGTTGTAATGTACTTATTTACCCATGACAGCTCAGCTCTGATTCAGCATCTGGTTCTCATTGAGGTTCTGCTTTTTTTAACCCAGTCTTCCAGCTGAGTTGATTGGAGCAGAAAGAGGTTAAGAAACTTGTCTGCGGACATGTAGCAAGTCAGTGGCTCCACTTGGATTAAAGCCCAGAACTGTCCTGAGCTACCAGGTCTTTATTTTTAGAGAGACAATTTTACCTTTTGTGACATGATCTTATAGTTGCGCACAGTAGCCAATGTTAGATTTAAGGGATGAGGAAAGGATGGAATAAAACTGGCCCCCCACAAAATTGCAGCCTATTCAGTAAGGGTGCGTCTACAATGGCACCCTTATCTTGAAAAAAGCTACGCAATTTTTGTTACTCAAATTGCGTAGCTTATTTTGATTTTATTTCAAAGTTTGGTGCTGTCTACACAGCACCAAATTTAGAAATAAAGCACTATTCCAAAATATCCCTTATCCCTCATGCAATGAAGTTTACAGGGACATTGGAATAGTGAGCCTGATATATTTTGATATAATGGGCTTGCTCTTAAGACATAGAAGGCTCCACAGCGTAGATGTAGCCTCAATGTCTTTTCAATGGGAAATGCCTTACGTGTTTTATGGAGCTATCACAGCAGGTAAAATTCAGATTTAAGGCATTTAGGTGCTCACACAAAAGCTGTACAGGATATATGCATGCAACCAACCTACCAACATCCCAAAATTTTCATTTATGTCTAATCTACTGCCAGTAAGCCAGAGTAGAGATCTCCGATGGCTCTCCTGCACACAGAAAGTTGTGTTTTAGCTCCACCTCCTGGCTTCTTGGCACATGGTGGGGGCTTTTGGGGGTGAGAGGGGAGATTACTAGAAGGCATGGAGACTCAAACAGGTGGAGGGCACTGTGGGTATATAAGAGTGAGAAGTGAGCTAAATATCCCATGCATAGTTTGAAAAGGGCCCTGCAGAACCCTGGACAGACCATAACAATCCCAAGCAGCAATGCCTGCATGTGGAAATACTTTTTAAAAGTAGCCCACATTTGAAAAACACTTTTCAGAGTAGAGCCATGAAGTGTGCTACATAATGTTACACCATTGTTCTATCTCTGTACTGAGGATGAAGATGCAATCATTTTATTTGAATATATGTCTGCACCAAATGAAGGCATAAAAAACCTGAATATGACAAAGATTAGTTTCACAGCAAGATAGGAGCTTTACAGACAAATGGCAGCTCAGGTTTCCTATTCCCAGAGACTGCTCCTGCCCAAAAGACAAACCACAGCCCATCATAAACCAGTTCACGTGCCTCTGGCCACCAACTGCCCTTTTAAACAGCAGACATGGAAGAGCCATTGTACAACGCTGTTTTGGAGAATTGTACCAACAGTCAAAGGAAGTATTCCATGCAGAGTCAGCAAGGAAGAGAATGCATTGGCACAATAGGATTTTAGTGTCCTATGTGACCCAAAGCACAGCTCCACATTAACATGAGGGCTCTTTACTGCCCCCCCCCCCACACACACACTCAAGAAAAAGAATCCCTGAGCAGTTCTAAATATGAATACCTATCCCAGCATCAAGTCCTGCAGAACCACTAGCTATGATTTTTCACACCTGTTTTTTGGTTTTGTTTTTTAAATGGTTCAACAGCTCCCTCTCCTTTACAATGGTCTGTTCTTCCAGTTCAAACAAAGACACAGGAACTCCTCCTTGGCAGGCCACATAAGCTGGTAGTGCAGGCGAATGCTTTTGTTTACTAACTCTCCCACATGCTTGGCTGACACAGGATTCAATTCTATTCTCCTGGCTCCGTCAGTCCCCCACGCCTGTTCTGCACTGCAGTCAGTCGCATGGCTCTCTCAGTGCCATAGCAGCACACACTTCTTGCCTGGGAGAGAGGGAACGGACAAGCCAAGGTTTTCTATTGGGTTTGGAGAGGGGGGCATTCTTGGACACATTTCCCTGACAAAGACATTGGATAGCTACACTCCCCAGATGGAAAGGGTCAAGTTACAACCAGTTCCACTGCTTCCCTTCAGGACTCCTGACAGCAAGATTGTTAACCTTCCCTTTGCTGTAAGAAGCTAACTACAGTCAGTAAGGCTTCCAGGACAGTTGCAAGACAGTACCATTTAGAAGGGGGAGAAAAAACAAACAACTCACAAAAATAACTTGAGTTATGGTATTTCTGATGTCAGAATGACATCCTCCAGTCCAGATAACTAAAGAAATGTGAAAGATGGCTGATCTCTCTCTAACATTTGCTTTAGCAATTCTGCTGTTGGGTCATGAGAAGAAAGCTTTGGGACCCTTCATTTCCGTAAGTTAAGTGCACCCAAACTTTGCCCAACCAAGGGTCATCCCAGCAACTCGCCAGGAGCTAAGTTCCTCACCTAAGGAGTAAAACTGAAGCAGCGCCCACCTTTAATAGACTCTACTGGGGTGAAGAAACACTCGTTCACCCTCTGAAGCCCACTGGATGGCATCAGCAGCTTCAGCTCCCAGCATGTGGCACTCTTTGAGGTGAGTGGAAGTCTGCTCAAATCTAGTTGAGGCATTGCATGTTACATCTGAGCACTCTGCTAACTTCCTCCACATCGAAGATGAGGACAATGCTGGGCTGCACTTTGGATGTGCCAATTCTAAACCCCGGATGAGCAGAGACTACTTAGAGACTGGAAGGCAAAGCAGAATGGTGTCACACAGCTGCTGTGAAGACGACTGCCAAAATATGGTAATCACCAAGTAGTGCTGGCGTGCAGTGCAGACCCTAGCAACACCAGAGTGGCCCAAGTGTGTATTCAGCACAGACAATAAATACACAGAAAATAAGAGGTAAAGGGTCAGCTGAGGCAAATGCTTCTGTCCTGGATGCAATGCCTGTATAACCAAATCCTTTTCTCCCCGTCCCCCAGAAAGAGCTCCTACCCTCTGTATGTGGAGCCTGTGGAACTGGTCTGCTATGCACTGTAACTTCCGTGCAATCTGAACCTCAGCCCGGGCTTCCTGGTGACCTTCCCGAGGCTCCTCTTGGAGGTGCGGATTCAATGCGAAGCCAACTGGGGGTTCATGTAAACGGTACCCAGCATTCCCTGCAAGACATTAGAGATGAGAAGGCGCGTTGCCTTGATCTCCCAGCATTAAGCCTGGTTCCCTTTCTGACTGTTACACATTATGAAGGAAGAGATGTGTGATTGCAAACTTCTGACTCAGGCTAAAGTCCAGTTTCTGCAGCCTAAACAATGACTAATCACGCTAAGTATTCAGTAAAACATTCACTTGGAGCTTTAAGTAGATTTACATTGATCAAACAGAGTGCATTATGTTCCTTCCATAACCGAGCGACCTGAAAGAAAGAAACCACATTAAGATAGGGAAAGCTCTCACACATGGATCTAGCTTGTTTATAGTTCAGTCAGCATTGAGATTTTAGTTGGAATGACAGTCTTACACTTAAGCAGGAGGGACCTAGGTCCTAAACATCAAAAATATCTTGGCATTAACTTTTGCTGCACCTTCCAAATCAGGCAACACTCGCAACAGCCCAGCATTAAGGGCCAAAGTTTCACCTTGGGACACCCGGTTCTTCGTTTTTACAGGTGCCACATGCAAGGATCTAAAAGTAGAATGTGACTCAAAGCTGATGGGGGAAGGAAGTTGTTGCTTTTTGTTTTAATTGTATAACCTGAAAATCAGTCAGGAATGATTCATTTCTCCAATTCAGCTTTAATAGAAATTTAGGCCAAGAGGCCTGGCAACCTGTCAATTACCACTTTACTACTGAAAAACTGGTTGTTCACGTTACATAGTTGACAACTTTTTTCTCTGCAGAGCCCAATAAAAGACCCACACCATTTGAACTTCTGTGTTTACAGTGTCTGCAGTGACAACACTAATGCAGTCCCATCCACATAAGATTCACCTGGGCAGCCTGGAGAAAGGGAAGGTTTAACTCTTTGTAGACAAATCGGCAGCATATACATTGAGTGAAGAGAAGCATCCAAATCATTCTCAGAAGCCTGTGGAAGGGACTCAGCCTTAAGTGCTGAAGTGTCTAGTAATAACTTAAACTGCCCTATAAGGACAACGGGGGAAAAGGGAGCTGGCATTTAAAGGGTGGCAGTAGCAGTGAGCAACTCCTGCAGTGAGTAGGCAAGCGTGAGAAGCAGAGAGAGCTGTCTTTCTTGGTGGTACAGCAGAATAGCAGCAGATTAAGTTGCCCTCTCTTGTCCAGTGGGGGAAGTGGGGAAGCACTTGAGGGCCAGTTTTCCCTGCTGCAAAGCTAGTGATGCTGCAGTGCTCTTACCATAGAAGAGTCTCTGGGGCTCTTCAGTGACTCCACATGGCAACATGACATCCTGAGTGGAAGAGGATGGGCTGAGTGTTTGGGTTGCCTTGTCCTGCTGCTCAGCATGCCTGATACCTGGACCACAGCAGTGTGTGAGTGGGAACAGTTGAAACCTCCCCAGGAGGCAGCTGTACGATTGGTTCTGTGTGAAAATGCCAGTAGGAGTCATCTCACCAGGCTGACCTGTGAGTCCAAAGTCATCAGAGTGAAACACGTCATCGTCCAGCCCGTCCAGGCTAGAATAGTCTTCTTCCAGGTAGCTGGGGGGATCCATTGCTCCTGAAACAAATGAACGCCTGTGAAAATGGCTAAGATAAAACCAGAGTGCAGTCCTGAATAACCTTCCCACAACCAATTCCATTAAGGAATACACAGTTCTCCCAGACCCAAGCTCTTTCCTCTCACACATCTAAAACCAGTCTCCATGGCCTGAAGAGATCAGAAACACAATTAAGGCCCTGTGGTCAAGTTATGCAGCCCTTGAATAGACAGTTGAGCATGCCGAAAAGGCTCCACCTATAGTTCAAAGTCTTAAAATACAGCATCCTCCCCTACCCCCCCCCAAAAAAAGACATGGTGAGACAGAGGGACTTTTTAACATGCATAGCCACCCTCAACCCACATTTTGGGAAGTTTCTGATTTCAGAGCCTTTGTGTTGCACCAAATAGTAAGAGCCTTGCCATCAGACCATAAGACTTGGCAACATTGCTTCTGCCAAACACCCCTTTCCTTTCCCCACAACCCAGCCACACAAATACCCAAAACTCAAGCAGTCCCACCACCTTCAGGTACCCCTCATTACTACACAATCCACCCTAAAACCCTTCCTTTATTTCACCCTAGAACAGGGTCTCAAACACCTGGCCCACAGGCCAACCCTGGCCAGAATGATTGCACAATCCCCCCCAGGTGGGCTGGGAGGGCGGTCTGTTACCAGCCCTCAAAACCCAACCCTTCCCACTATTGCCCTGCCTTCTCCCCCCACTTGGCACCCTGTCCCTCCAAGAACACAGTTTTGGGGATCACAGAGGGAGCCTGGCATCATGTGGTGGCAGCGGTTGTACCCTGCTGTGCTCCCACAGCGCTAAGAGCTGAGGAGGATGGGGAGTGCATTGGGACAAGTGTACTCGCTCCACTTTCCCTGAAGCTCCTGCTGCCAGAGGGGGGCATGACCACTGTCCTCACATCACACCAGGCTCCCCTGGTGATCCCAAAACCATGTCCTTGGAGGGACGGGATCCTGACGGGGGCGGGGAGGGGAAGGGCATTAAGAGGTGGGGCTTGTGGCTGGGAACAGAGGGCCCCCCCCACCCAGCCCACCAGGAGACCAAGGACCAGATTGCACAATCACTGCAGCTGGGTATGGCCCATGGGTCAGTAGTTTGAGACACCTGCCCTAGAATTAAGGGAGTCAACAAGTGTTTGGTGATATCAGTATCTCAGGTAGGGCTTTTACACATATCAAAGTATATTCCTGAGCCCCATTATGTCCTAAGAGCAGGCAAAAAGAGCACTCTTTTAGACCTCCCAAGCTCCCACAAACACAGAGTCAGTACAAGCAGCCCGGCCAATGAATCTGACAACCCCTTACTATTCTCTGTGCATCTAACCCAAACTGATGACAGTCTTCTAAAAGATCCATCCCCAGGATTTCTACCCAGTTTTCAACAAGGAAGTGAAATTCAACTCTTCACATCTCCCTTGCTCTGATTTTGACAAAATTTAACAGGATGGTAGACTAGTAAAAGGAATCGTAGGCCTGAAGGAGATAAAAAGACAACTGTTAACATAACCTATCCAGTACTTCGGTCATAGATGTATCTCCCCCCGTGTAAATATGAACTCAGGACACCATTGTCCTAAAAGTGATGCACAGATAGGAAGAAATAAAAATTTCCACTCTCACGAAGAAGTTACAGCTGCAAATAATTTAAAATGTATGGCCAGAACTACAGTTACATTTGGTATAAAAGGCTAAATGTGACAAACCCCAAAGCCAAGAAGTTTACTAGGCAGACCAAACATTTAACAAAAGGAGCTTCAGAACTGTCAGAAATCTGAGTCTGCATCCTATTCTGGTGAGCCAAAGTATGCTACTGCTTTGTTCTGAGGCCCTGAGACCAAGAAGTTTGATGTATCTGGAGCATTACCTATAGTAAGAGTCACTTAATTTCTTCATCATCTCAAAATAATGTTTACTAACTCCTTCAGATGCAAGAACTACAAATATACAGAGTTATCAGCAAGAGGGGCATCAAGCAAAACAGAGTTTGTGAGAGTTGTTTATGAGTGTGGTGCACATATGCATGGAGTATCATACCTTACATCTGCCTAAAGCATTCTCCTGGGACAAGAAAACCTGCTATCAGAGAAAGGCAGCATAATGACAGTGGAATTCTTATACATCACAGTAGCAGGCCTACTCTCAAGAGGAGCAGACAGGAAAAACAGAGGGAGGGTTCAACATATACATGCATGCCTGCTTCCCAAAACAAAATTGGCTGGTCTAAGTTTAGGACTACCATATTCTTTTCCTTCGTTTCCTTCCCTTTGCGGGCTTAAGTACTGCAAAATTATACATGTACAAAAGACTTAAATACAATGTTTGAGGTTAGCAGGATTTAAACATAAACTTTAAATCCCAGAAGAGATACAACAGTGGAAACATTATCTAGATTATTGAACACTACCATAATTTGCAGCATCACAAGTGTACTCAGCATTGTATGTACAGGATGCTATCTTATACAGGTACTTCATGGACCAGGTAACTGTTTCCAAAAAGCAGTATGCTTTGGAATAATCCTAACATCTTTCTTTATGATCATGAACATTTATGCAAATCACCAATTTTTCAAGTCTCTGCCTTTGGCAAGAGCCTGAATAATTGCTTTGTGAGCAATACACTGAATTAGCCAAAGAGGCATGAGTATTTTTTCAACAGGTACTCGCATGAATCTAAACTATAAGGAATTAATCACACCACATCAGGTTGAGGAAACCCAACTGAAGAGGATTTTTTTTAAGTAAATCTTTTGGGAAATGCTCAAATACCATGATGATGGGCACCATTATGAAAACTTGGGCAAACAGGTAGTCCTAGGAGTAACTGAGGACAGTGCAAATATTTTTCTGATGGTAGGAGGGGCTTGTTTTACCAGACTAGAATGCAGCTGCAGAGACAGTACAATGGAAGGATATAAAACAACATTAAGATGTTGTCATCAGACTGGTGATGAACTATATAGCTATATGGTTTCATGAGAAACTTTTTTCCCCCTTTTTAAGTTTATCCTGTACAGACTAACTCAGCTACCCCCTAAAGCTTTTTCTCTTTAGTTACCAGTAATCTAATGACTGCCACTTGCAGTTGAAGGTAACTTCACAAGTGAGAAGATTCCCCTTCACCAGTTTGGGATTCATGAGCTCAGATAACAGAATGAAACACTTGTCACCAAGGATCAGCTGGGGACAATATAAACACCCCCCCCCATACCAACAGGGGAAGCCATTTCCTGGATGGGAGAGAGGGTCACTGCATAGTGAACTAGAACTAAATGGTACCAGCAGAGAGCAGACTTCTCCTCTTTGAAGTGATGAAGGTTGGGGGTCTCCCAGACCAAGACGAAAGAGAACTGAAGGCACTCTCACTAGCCGGTCAACTACAAACCCTACACATAGACGTGCAAGTACCGACTCTTCCCAGTACACACCTGGCTCTATGGCACAAACTACTGCAATCGGGACGGCTCGTTTTCGGCCCCGAGCCCAGCCAAGAAGCACCAGAGAGAGAGAAGCTGCCATCCTCATCGCCCTAGGGCTCCTCATTCACGTCCCCCTTCCAGCCCCTACTGGCCATGGGGCAGATAGCTAGGTCAGTGCCCGATGGGACTGGGAGCTGCCGCCATGACCGTGCGGCGGGCCATGACCGTGCGGGGGAGGCAGGGGGAGGGGGAGGGTTTACCCTCCGGGAAGAGGATGACAGGAGCCGGGGAGAACGGGGTGCAAAGGAGACGCCTGACGGGCCCGCCCGGGAGCGCCTCCCGCAGCAGAAATGGGGCGCGCTCCTCTCCATGCTCGCAGCGGGGAGGCGGCAGGCAGGAGCCCCCAGCCCGGCGGGCACTTACCTGAGGCAGGGCAGGGCGCCGCTGGGCGGGTTAGGGTGCAGGGGCGCGGGCGCCGAACCCGGGCGGAGCGAGGAGTCCCCAGGCTGCCGCCTCAGGCGCCGCCGCGCCGCATTGTTTCCAAAATACACTTGCTTCCTGGCATCCCCCAAACAGCTGATAGAAGCCCCGCCCCCCCACGTGACGTACCCGCCAGTCAGCCAATAGGGGAAGAGCCCCCCCAGGGCCACAGCAGCTGGGACAGAGACTAGTGTGCAGCTTTCGCTGCAAGCACGAGTAAGGGAGAGAGGGTAAATCCTCAGGCCGTCATGAAGCGCTCAATGCACAAGCAGGGCTGGTGTCGGGAGGCTCCAGCTCTGTTGCTACGCTGCTAGCCCGAGGGGTGCAGGACAAGAGAGGCTTTTAGTATGGCCTTTGACACAGCCCCTCCTGATGGGCTCAGAAGCAACGCAGGGAAAGCTGTAGCTGAAACTACTGTAAGGTGGGTGCACAAGTGGTTGAAAGACCATCCTCATGGAACTGGGGTGGTGTATCTAGCGGGTGGGGTCAGTCCTGGGGCCAGCATTATTCATTATTTTTCTTCAGTGACTTGGCTAATGAAGCCGAGAGTAAGCTTATAAAATTAGGGGATGACACCGAGTTGGGAGGGGTTGCTACATCAATGGCAGTACCTTGCAGCTGGTCACATAAAATCTCCATTCTTACAGGTGGGGAAACCGAGGCACCAAAAACTCAGGGCCATTATTTTTAAAAGTGAATAGTGGGTTGTGGTACAGGGTGACCATATTTCCCAAAGGGAAAATAGGACACCACATGGAGCCGGCCCAAGCCTCTCTCTCCTGCTATGGATCTCACCCAAGCCACTTATCCAGCCCTGCCTGCCCATGCACCCCCTTGCAAGATGCTGTCACTGATCCCTCCTGCTCTGCCTACCCCCACACCAGGCTGACATAACTGCTCAACCCTGACACATTTCTTTACACCACAGCCCACTTATATATATATATATATAAAAGTGGATAGTTGTCCCATTTGCTTTTACTAACTGATCAAGTGACAAAAGTCCACTTTTGCTAAAAATGTTGGGACAACTGGGACAGGGCTTTAAAAAGGAACTCTCATAGCCAAAATGGGACATATGGTCACCCTACTTGAGAGATCCCAGCTTTTCATTTTGCCATACCTTAAGCTGGATTTTTCAGAAATGGAACTCGCCTGTTTGAAAATCAGGCCCACGTCATAAAGGAATGGATTGCCGCTGAGATTTCCCCAACTCCACATTACACTTGGAGTGCTTTTTTCCTTTTACTTACTGTGGAAAATTCTAAACCTTCAGTCAAGAACAATGGTCAGATCTTTCAGGAGGTAATTAAAGGCTTTCTTATGTGTGGTCCTTTTCCTTTGTACCAGGACACAACACTGCCTGCAGTAGGTACATGGATGGTGGGTGACCCCATGGCTTGGGGAGGCAAGCTCTCCCATACTGATCCACCAGAGCCCATGCTGCCCCCCGACACTGTGGCTGCTGGCCCTTGCCCCCTCCCTCCCAAAGTAGCACCCCCAGCCTTCCTCTGGCCCCAGAGCTCTGGAGAGCCAGCAGATGGCATGGCAGCAGCCTCCTCTAGCCCTGGAGATCTGGCGGGCAGCCTCTCCTAACCCTGGAGCTCTGGAGAGCTGGCCAACAGGCATGGCACAGGGCTGAGGCCACGCCACCCGCACCCTGGGTCCTGACCAGCAAGGCCCTCCCTGCAGCGAGCCACCAGCCCTAGCACTGGACAGAAAGAGTAGCTCTAGCACTGGAAAGACAGGCGACGCAGCCCCAAACTTGCCTGCCTCAGCATCTGGTACCACAACAGCAGACTGGGGGAGTGGGTCCAAAGGATTCCAGTGGAGCATGGGTGGGGCCAGGTGAGGTAGTTTAGTAAGGCAGTGCCTTCCCCTACCTAGCATACCCCGCATCTGGGGGCCTACCTTGCTCCCAGTGTAGATGATGGTACCCTTGAGTAATAGGGTGTCTGCAGCCAGGTTTGCCAGGCATCCTGTTTTTGACCAAAACAGCAGGTTGAAAAGGGACCCTAGCAGCTCCAGTCAGCACAGCTGACCAGGCCATTAAAAGTTTGGTTGGCCGCACCCACCAGCTCCGTGCAGCTCCCAGAAGTGGCTGGCATGTTCCTCTGCTCCTAGACACAAGGCTGGTCAGGGGGCCTCTGTACACTGCCTTTGACTGCAGCATAGGCACCCAACTGAGTCCAGCCTCCACAGCTCTCATTGGCTGGAAATTGTGACCAATGGGAGCTGCAGGGGTGGTGCCTGCCATTGGGGAGCATGTAGAGTCCCCTGTCTCTCCTCTGTGCCTAGGAGCCAGACATGCTGGCTGCTTCCTGGGAGTCACCTGAGTTAAGCATCACTCGGAGCCCACAACTTGAACCCCCTCCCACACTCCAATCTTCTGCCCCAGCCCTGAGCCTCTTCCCACACTCCAAACTCTTCCTACATCCCAAAGCCCTCATCCCTAGCTCCACCCCAGTGTCTGCACCCCCTGTCAGAGCCTTCATTCCTCATAGCCCAACCCCCTGCTCCAACCAGGAGCCCATTTGTGCACTCTGAGACCCTCCTTTCTGGCCCCAGCCTGGAGCCCTCACCCCCTCCCATGTCCCTGCCCCAACCCAGAGCCCACTCCCACAATCCAAACCATTTTGGTTCCATCCCCAGCCTGGAGTTCCCACCCGAATCCCAAATCCCTCATCTTTGGCCCCATCCTGGAGCCTGCACCCACCAGTCAGAATCCTCCATCCCATCCTGCATCCCAACCCCCTTGACCCAGTCTGGTGAAAATGAGGGAGTGTCTGATGGGGGGAAATGGAGTGAGTGGGGGCGGGCCTCAGAAAAGGGGCAGGATGGGGTGGGGCCTTGTGGCAGTAGTAGGGCCCAGATGTTCAGTTTTCTACAGTCAGAAATCTGGTGATCCTATGTGCAGCAGTGCCTTTTCTCAGTCTACCTCCAAACTGCCTTGCATGCTGACCCGTGTGACCTTCTATGCTGTGGGTATTTTCTAAGGGCAATGGAGAAATGCCCTTAGGGATTGCTGCAGAGAATTACTGCCTCCATATCAGTGAATAGGGGGCTTTTATGCTGTCAGTGAGGAATACTTCATCTGCCTTCCTCCAAAACTAAGCATGTCATATCTGCAGCATTCCCACCAACATTCCAACCACCGGCTTGATCAGAGAGCAATGGACTAACCTCAGAATTGGCACGTGGCTCTCCAAATGTACTGCACAGTTCAACGTGTAACTTCTGGGCTCTCAGGTCAGCATGTGAAGGGCTCCCCTTCCTTTATCTCTCATCATGTTCACTCTAACCAGTTTACCCACTGGAAAGGGTAACTCCCCTAAAGTCAATAAACTTTCACAAGATGTAAGCCATTAATGCATGTCAGGCCTCATCTTGCTGTTTACAGTGTAAAACTGATGTGTGATCAGAATCAGACTTGCCACATTTTACAGCTATCCTGGAAAGCCTGTATGCCATCTGTACTTGGGGAAGTGGGGGTGGAATGAGGCTGAAGCCTACTGGAGAAATCTGGGAATTCTTTAAGAAGCTTTCATCAAGGAGTGTTTTATTTTCCCCTTTCATCAAGGAGTATTTATTTTGAATGGAAATGTCTTACAATCAAATTACAAGAAATTTACACACAGATAAGAAATAGTATTAGTGTGCTTTAAGAAACGTGGGGGGAACCTAACACCCTCTTACAAACACATACACACGCCCAAAATACCCAATCCAAAACAGTGACATGAAATTAAAGCAAAGCCAGATTTTGGTGGAACATCAGGAAGAAAATTCTTAAGAATGAGATCTCTTAGAGTGTTGAAAAATCTCCCAAAGGAAGTGGTGGAAGCCCTACCACCTGAGTCACATAAAGCTATTTATTTATATTGCACTTAGAAGCCTCAGCCAAGAACAGGGTCCCATTGTTCCAGGTTCTGTATAGACAGGTAGTAACAGAAGCTCCTGCCCTGAAAATCTTTCAATCTAAACAGTCTTGACAGACAAAGGATGGCAGCAGGTCAGGTGCAGAGTTAGGAAGAGAATGCAGGTCTCCTGACTCTTAGTTCAGTGCCCTGTCAACTAGTGGTACGCATACCCTCAGGAACATGTGAAAGAAGTCTGGGGGGTACGACAACACCAGTGAAATTTGGCAAGAAATGTCTGAGATTTTGCCCTGCAAAGAGGATGGGGAGGGGCAGCGGCATATGCCCGTCAAATTGAATGTTCGGAGCCGCATGCTGGGACGTTAACAACTGCTCTGCGCACGTGCCCCAGCACCTGGAGGGAGAAGCACGTGGCTGTGTCAGTGGCTCTGGTGAGACTCAGGGTGTTAATAAAAGAATCTGGGGCTGTCTGGTTCTGGGGGAGGGAAGGGGCATTGGGTTAGAACGGGGGGACTAGGGTGCCTGGCTCTGGGG